ATTTTTTGTTTACGAGGAGGAAAGAGTTCGAGTGATTTTTTTTTATTCGATTTTTATTTAAAATACAATCACACTGAAAAAACAAAAACCTTTATTTAAAATACAATCACACTGAAAAAATGATATAACCATATTGTAATTTGTGCGACCGCAACATCGCAACAAAAAACAGAAACTATTTTCATTCAATTCAGTTATTTTCAGTATGGCTTTGATTCAATTTAGTTATTTTAAGTCAAAAACTAAAAAATCTTTATCAGAACATAATACTAGAAGCTATTATGCTAGTATTTAACTAAGCAATGTACACAATTTAGGGAAGAGAAATGATGTTAAGTGGGGTTGAACTAAAAAACTGATTAAATTGATAATATTTTTTTTAAAAGATACAAAACCATGAAAACAATTATTAGAATATTTTAAAAAATATTCGGATTGGTTTGATTTCGATTTTATAAGCTTGAAATTGAAAAACCAAACTGAACTGAAAAAACCAAACCAAACCGAAATTAAGCCCATTAAAAAAGTAAAAAAAAACCCAAAAACAATATAATTTTTAATATAAAATAACCAAACCAAACATAAAAGAACCAAACTGAACAGACCGGAACCAAAACTGTTCGATTGAGTTTTGATTTTTAATAAAAATAACCAAACCAAACCGAATTGAAATCGATCGGTTTGAACCGATTTTGATTTTTTTTTTTTGTATTCTACAAAATTTCAATTTGGTTGTTTTTATAGGTAAAAACCGAACTGAACCGAAAATAAACACTTTTAATGATAAGCTAATGAAAAAAGTGCTTTAAGAGATACTCATCAAACATGTTATATTATTATGTTCTATTTAATTGTCATTGTTCATTTTATTGTTACGATTTGTTTAATTGTCATTGTTTATTCTTTCATCTTAAAAAGTTTTTGTTTTCTACTAGCTTTATTGTGTCTTGGGATTGTGCAAATTAATCTGCACCAACTGGTTTAAGAGTATTAAACCTTTAAAATCAAAGTATGACACCAAATACTTATTCTCAAAATCTGAAAAAGAGTGGAAGACAAGATTGATGAATCCATTACAACTATTGATAGGAATTATGACCAAAGATATGACAAGGTTGTGCAACTTTTAGAAGTGTATGGATAACAATTAAAAGAACCTAAGATTAATAATGAAATTAGATTTGTGAAAATTGATCTTAGACTACAGAAGCTTCAAGAATTGCTAGGAGATCTTACCTGCCATCAAAGTCCAATAAAATAAAAGTCACAAGCTAATGTTGGTGAAACTAGTGCCTTTCACAACAATAAAGAAGGCTATCATAATGGCTATGCTTTTAAAAGTTGTGGAGCTAGTGATATGGGTTATTATTCTTATAAGGTATATAAACCTAAACGAGATTTCTCTAGTTTTGATAGGGAGGATGTTCATAAATGAATTTATAAGTATAATCAATATTGTGAGATTGAAGAAATTGATGAGAATGAGAAACTCAAATTAACCTTTTATTATTTGGATGAATTGACTCTTTATTGGCACCAAAACTTTATATGGTGTAAAGGAGGACTGAAGGTTGCATAGAGTGAATATGTAGAGGCTATTTAACTATAGGTTCGAGGGGAAGTATGATTCTTTTGAAGAACTAATGAACCTGAAACAAAAGGGATATTTGGAGACATATATTAGGGATTTTGATATTTTATGGAATAGGATAGATGTTGGGGATTTGAAAATAAAGATGAAAAACCCTATGAAGATGTTTAAACTTAAGCAACTAACACAAGCCAACAACTTAGCTAGACTTCATGTCAATACCCTATCTTATAAGAGAAACCACCCTCACACTACTAAACAAATAACTTACCCCTACTTACTCAACATCTCAAATCACACAACAACAACACCTATCAAATTCCTCTTATTCTTAAAATGCCACAAAACACAATATCATTACTCTTAATCCAGCTTTTAAGAATTTGACAAATATCCTAACCCAAAGCAACACCTCAAGATAATCAACAAACCTTCTAAAAGCTTTAAAAGTAGGGAGTTTGATGATAAAAGGGTGAAGGGCCTGTGTTTTTGGGGTGATGATAAATTCATACCTAATCATAAGTGTAAAAATAAGAGGTTATACTCTTTATATGTGATTGAAAATGAAGGTGACATTGATGGGGAGCCTACAAAGGAAAAAAAAGGAAAATTATGATCATATAAGTCCACATATATTTATCAATGCTATTGAAGGGAGCATTGGTTACCATACCTTGAGGGTGACTGGTAAGGTGGATAAATAACTTATTTACATCGTGATAGATTCATGAAGCACACATAAATTTATTAGTTTTATGATTGCTAATAAACTATAATTAAATGGCATGGAGCAAATTACAACGGAAGCTGTTAATGATATGAAAATGACTTGCAATGTTGTATGTAAGAACTTTCAGTAAAAAATACAAGGTGTCTAGTTTGTTGTAGATATGTTTGTTATAGAACTAACTAATTGTTATAGATATTGGGAATACAATGGTTGGCTTTACTTGGTGATGCCTTATGCAACTATAGGGATATGTGGATGTCTTTTAACTAGAAAGGACAACAAATCTTGCTAAAAAAGGACAATCCTACTCAGCTAGAAACCATTAGATTCGATCAACTTAATGATTTGTTGGACAGTGCTAATCATATAACAAGTGTTAGCTTGTGTAGTTTGAGAATGCTAAAGAAGGAAATATGAAGCTTTTGTGCTATAAGTGCCACTTTGTCACCGATTAGAGCAAACAATCTCCCAATAGAAAAACTAATAAAGACTTATGTTGAAGTTTCTAAGGAACCAAATGCTTTGCCCCTAGTTAGATCACATGATCACCATATCTCACTAAAAGAATGGGTTATAGCTTGTGAATTTAAGGCCGTACAAGTACTCGAGAATTCAAAAAGATATCATGGAGAAACTAATTGGAGAAATGCTAGAAACTGGTATTATTTAGAATAACACATGTCTTTTTCTATCTCTAGTGATGCTAGTGAAAAAGAAAGATTTTTTTTGGAGACTTTGTGTGGATTACAAGGCATTTAACCAACTCACTATTAAATACAAATAACCCATACCTTTAATAAATGAACTCTTGAAGGAGTTAACTAGTGCTACTATCTTTTTAAAGCCGAACCTAAGATCAGGCTATCATCGAATTAGAATGATACTAAAAGACATCTATAAGAGAATCTTTAGAGCCTGTAATAGTCATTATGAGTTTATGTTGATGCCCTTTGGTCTCACAAATACACCAGCCATTTTCCAAAGCCTAATGAATGAGGTTTTCAGGCTTTAGTTTAGGAGATACATACTAGCTTTCTTTGACAACATATTAGTATATAGTCAATCCATGTATGACCATTCAAAACATCTCTAAATAGTGTTTAAATTGTTATTACACCTTTAGCTGGTTGTTACATTCAATAAATGAGCTTTCTATGGTGATAAGGTGAAATACTTGGTCATATAATCTCTTTGGAAAGAGCGACCACATATCCATAAAAAATTAAAGCCATTATAGAGTGACATATACCTAAGAACATCAAACAAGGTGTTATATGAAGTTTGTTCAAGGGTGTGGTTCAGTTTATAAACCATTGACTCAAATGCCCAAGAGGGATGCTTATCATTGGAATGAAGTTGTCATATCAACTTTTAATCATTTAAAAAGGGCTATGTCACAACCACTAGTACTAGCATTACCTAATATTAACAAATTATTTGTTGTTGAAATAAATGTTTTTGGTGCAAAAATTGAGACAATTTTGATGCAGAAAGGTCATCCAATTACATTTATTAGTAAGATATCGGGCCCTGAGCATCAAGTCTTATCAACTTGTGAAAGATAGATATTAGCAATACTATATGCAATAAGTAAATGACACCATTACCTATAAGGCAGACACTTCAAAATCTAAATAGATTACATTAACCTCAAATATTTATTGGATCAAAAGGTAAGTTGTTTATCTCAACATTTATAGCTGACAAAGTAGTTGGGATTTGATTATAAAATTGAGTATAAAATAGGAAGGGGAAATGCTACTACTGATGCCTTATCAAGGGTTACTAGTAGTTAGATTTATGCCTTAGCTATATCGTTGTTTCAACTAATATCATGGATGAGATCAAGGACTCTTGGAAGAAAAATCATCCCCTACAAACTATCATACAAGATCTGTAAGCTGACCCTACATCTTTTCCACATTATAAGTGGGTAAATGAACTCCTAAACAACAAAGACAATATAATGGTGGGACAAAACACATGCCTATAAGCTAAACCGATTGTCGTGTTGCATGCAACTATAATAAAAGGTCACTTATGTATGATAGTTACTTCCAAACGAGTTGGTAGCCTTTTTTATTGGAAAAGATAACTAAAAACTATATAATTTGTGCAAGAATATCAAGTATGCCAAAGGAATAAGCTAGAGAATGTCCATACTCTAGGTTTTCTACAACCCTTACCAATTCCTATAGCCTTTTTTACTTATATAAGCATGGACTTTATTAACGGGTTACCTAAAACTAAGGGAAAATGGAGTAATATTTGTTGTGGTAGACTGTTTTAGTAAATATGCACACTTTCTAGCATTATCACACCCCTACACAAACATCTATAAGTTATATGGCATGTTAACAATTATCATTAGTGTCAAAGATCCTATTTTTCTCAAACAATTTTTGAAAAAATTATTCTCTCATAAAGGGTGGATCTTTAATATTTTTATTGCTTACCACCCTTATTCAGGTGGACAAATAGATATGGTTAATAAATATGTATAAAATTATCTCAGATGCATGATTGGACATGCTCCAAACCAATGGGTGTAGTAGTTTCCTCTTGCATAATAATAATGGTATAACACCAATTTTCATTCATCTACTAAAACCACCCCATACAAGGTTTTGTATGGACTTGATTCACTAGTTCACATTCTATACTTCCCTAGAGATTATATAGTGGAATATGTAGATCAATTATTAACTAAAAGAGAAGCTGCTTAAACTAATTCGGAGTCCCAGCAAAGAATATGTAGATCAATTATTAACTAAAAGAAAAGCTGCTTAAACTAATTCGGAGTAACTTACTAATAGCTTAGCAAATGATGATTTAGTTGGCTAATAAAAAGAGATCTGAAAGATAATTTGAGGTTTGAGAGTCAATTTACCTCAAACTACAACTGTATAGGCAACAATTAATAGAAAAGTGATCATCTGAAAAGCTAGCAACTAGATTATATTGCCCCTATTTGATACTGAAAAAATAGGCACAATGGCCTATCATTTAGATCTTCATTTCTCAACCACGATCCACCTTATTTTTCATTTCTCCCAATTGAAGAAACTCATTAGCAGCAAGATGGTGTAAACATAATTACCAAATCTTTCCATGGAGCCTTTGTTACAACCTCAAACAATGTTAGACATAAGAATTGTAAAAAGAGGAACCTTATCTACCACACAATTCCTGATTTACTAGCAAAATTTGTTACCTGCTGAAGCTACATGGGAGTTTGTAGATGATATAGAGCTGAGGTATCCCATATTTCCCCTTGAGATCAAAAGCAACTTGATGAGGAGAAATTATACACCTCAACATGAAGGAAGAGAAGAAATGATTGCAGATCAAAGCTAACTGAAAAAATAAAGAAATGATCATTAGAGAATTGCATTAAAAGTTATTGCTTTATGAAATGTTATGTTTAGTTTAATCTATACATTGTGTTTTATGCTTTGTTATATCTTGTCTTTCTTAGCTAGCAATAACCACACGTGGCTTTAGAATTTTAGAATATTAGTAACCGAATTGTAACAAAATGCTAGAAACTATTATGCTAGTATTTATCTTAGTAATGTAATAAAAATTAGGGGAGATAAATGATGATAAGCTAATGAAAAGGGTGCTTTGAGAGATGTTTATCACACTTGTTTTGTTAGTCCATTCTGTTTAATTTCTATTGTTCATTCATTAATTTTAAGGAGTTCTTGTTTCCCGCTAGCTTTATTATGTGTTGGGATTGTGCAAATTGATCTTACACTAATTGAATGCATATATCTTGTTTAGTTATTGGCTTTATAGGCTCTATGGTGTGATAATATTGAAGGTTAAGTGTGGGAGAGGGAGGCAACTAGTTTGCTAAATATGGAGATGCAGATTGAAAAATGATAAAGACCTTGAGAGGGGTGGTTAGTTTGCTTGATCTTCTAAAGATAGAGATTAAAGAAAGAAGATTGAAGAAAATGATTTGGCCTTGATGTATGGTGCGTGGGAGGCTGGGACTTAGGAATGTGTTTATGAGCTATGAGGGGGTGGGAGCTAGGGTTAGAAATTAGCATATTTTTTCTATTTCTAATACTTTTACTGATTCCGTTCGATTGGAGTTTTATCAGTTTCAAACCTATAAAACTGAAATTGAACTAGAAGTTTTTTAAAATATTATAATCGGTTTAATCTGTTTTTTCTTTTTAATGTTCTAGGTTTAATAAGTTTTTCAGTTTATTTTCTCTCCCTTAGGAAAGAGACATATTTAGTGACTATATTTTAAATTTCAATCCCAACTATCCTACAAAACTACCTTGGTGGCTCAATTTCCTATCTTACATGGTGTTTTTTTTCTCTCCATTAGGAAAGAGACATATTTAGCGACTATATTTTAAATTTGAATGCCAACTATCCTACCAAACTACCTTGGTGGTTCAATTTCCTATCTTACATGGTGTCATAAATTCATTATAGGGTTTAATCTTGTCTAAGTTTATCCATCAGTTCTTCGATCTTGTTTTGTAACACTCCATTACTCAGGTTGGTCACTTCAAGCAAATGACAGAAAGGTATGAGGCATTAAGTGATTCTCTGACATGAAATGAATTCTAAATGAAAAGCTTTGGTGCATTTAATTATAGGACTGCAATTCATTTGTGGTTATTGAATTTTGAGTATGTTAATCCAGGTGAATCAATTTTTTTTTAAATTAAAATAATATTGTTTTTTTTAAGTAGATTTTGATTAAGTTAATCACGTGAATTTTAGAATTTGTTTTTTGTTACACTTGGCCTAGATTAGGGAGCGGATAAGTTAGGTCCCATATTGACTTGTTAGACTATGATTGAGTTTAATAACAATAACTTTAGCATATTTGACCATTTTAACAATTAATATATTTCTTGTCATATCTTTTTTTTTGTTTTTTTTTTTTTGCAAAGTAGCATGATTGATTTTAGCGATTGTAAATTAAATGGGGTTCACTCCAACACCCATAAGTTAAATTTCCCAATATTAAATCTAGGGTTCTAAGAAATTTAGTCTTACCCCAACTCTTAAATAGCTATCCAAAATCCATTGGCGACTTGCAGTTTTGGATTTTTAAGAATTTATAGGATATTTTCACATTTTTTAAAAGCTTTTGTGAAGGAAAAAAAAGAGAATAAGAGAAATTAAAATAAATTATATTAAAAGGTGTATTTCTATAAGTTTTCAAAAGCATAAACACATTTTAGAATTATATGATTAACCATAAAATATTTTAGTCTGATGACTGAATTGAAACATAATTAAAAGTCCATCAAACTGAAACTATAATAACATTAAGACGACTAATTTATATTAAACCAAACATTAGGGTGCAATTAAGACATAACTTCTCATCACCATGGATGTTAAAAATGTGTTTTGACTCGTAAAATTGTATGATTTTACGAGTCAAAACATAGAAAATGTGTAAAATCAGGGTTAAAACTTGAAAACTAGTAAAATTGGTCACACCTGATCAAATTCACATAAAATGTTAAAAGCGTATCAATTTCACGATTTTAAGTGAAATTTAAAAGAGTATGTCAATTATCATGTTGAATTGCTGATTGTTGTACCCGTGCTTACTCAGCACTCCCTTTTCCCAATTCTTAGTCCCCACTCCCCACCTGTGACCCGACACTCCACCCTTCATCACTTCCCCTTTCACTTTCCTCTTTCCCCATCAAATTAAGAAATCACTTTCCCCTTTCCTCAGCAAATTAAGAAATCAGATTAAGATTAAGAAATCGGTTGATTCGGTTCCACTCTCAGATTAAGAAATTAGTTGATTTGGTTCCACTCTCAACTGAGTCCACTCACCAGTGACATGACTAAAAGATTGATATCTTCTCCCAAGTGTAGGAGTGTCGAAGTAATAAATAACCCAGCAAGACTGGGATCAAACCACAGGAAGGTTAATTATATAAATTACAAATAGAGAAATAGATAATAACAAAAAAGAAGTTGAAAAGAACTTTGAGATGTGATATGGATGTAATGATTAAATAAGGATAAAATAATTGTCAAAGTTAGAGGATCCACTAATGGTATTTCAAACAAGTATAGTATAAACTATAAAACCACACATAAAAGAGAGCAAGAACATGATCTTGATTTGAAAATCAAGACGCCTAAATGCATGGAAAATGCCTCCTTTTACAAGCCAAAATTTGTAACTATTGATTTGTTGACTAATTGTTGAGTGGGTGGCTACATCTTGACTTGGTAATAATTCTTATTTTCTTGTTTGAACAAAACATCATTGTTAGCATCAGAATTTGAATAGACTATCTCATGAAAGTTTTAGGAAATTGTCTTACTTTCCAACTAAAAAAAAATAAGATCATTTGGACTTCTAAAACTCGAGATATGGGCTAAACACTGAATAATATCTAGGCTGCACGTTTAAACTTGAAAACAACCTTTTTGAATCTTAGACTCTAATGAAAGTTTTAGGCCTATATCTCAGCTTTCCATCCATGTAAAGTAGTCCCAAATTCCATTTCTATAACTCCAGATATGACCCAATGACTAAACCAACATCTATTTTCTAAGTTTAGCTCTCTTTTTATCTTTTCAATTTCAGTTGTTAAACTCATCAATCAATCTTTTGATTTATATGATAAGCCTATATTTAAGATGAACATTTATTATAAATTAAAGGTATTTTATATTATTAGATATGTTATTATAAAACATGTTTTAGCTAAGGAGTTATTAAAACTTCAAGTGCAAAATGATGATATAAAACCTTGATAAAAAATGTACTTTTAAGTACTAATCACACCTCCCAACTAGCTTATTACTAGTCCATAGTAATCAAAGTGTTAAAATAGAAAAATAATTTGCAAGTTCCATAAATTAAGTAATGCATTCATCATTCAACTTCTATTAATCTATTCAAATAAACAAACTCTTATTAAATTTATATTTCTGCTCAATACCTCTTTACCAAGATATTAATAAACCTTCTTTTTTATGTGCTCAATGTATGAAAACATAGATAATGAGGCTTTTATTGTAAAAAAATAATATTTTGTTCTAATGTTTAATGTTAATTTTCTTGGGTTAGGATTATTATCTTTATTTATTATTTCTTTTTGTTAATATTTATACAAATAACACAATGCATCTTTAACCCATATACGATTAATATTTTTCTCCTTCCAGTTACTTCCTTTTTTATTTTCTTTCCGTTTCTTTTGTAGTGTTTATTATGCAAAGACTTAACCTACTTTTTGATTTGTTATAGATTTCCTTACAGCTCAATTCCTGAACTTTGCTTTATTTTTCTGATCACCATTTGCAACTTTAATAGCGCAAAAGGGTAGTGACACATGGTGGTATATGAAAGTGGAGGATTTGCTCCTAGAAAAATATTGTCATCAAGTATTAGAGTATGAAAAGGGGATGGACATAATGGACGTATGGTTCGATTTAGGTATTACAAGACTTCATAATTAAATACTATTCTTTATAGATTGCAGACCTTGTTTACCATAACACACTTAATGAATACTGTGTTGTTATCATAAATTTCTGATTTGACAATGTCAAGATCATGTTTCATCATTTCTATAGCAGTTTCATATTACTTCTTATTACTGTTTGAAAATTTTAGTGGCTACTTCTTCACATGGTATATTATATGTGTTATAATGGAGGGCTGCCCCCATTCAGTGGTCACTTGTTGGTAAGCACTCAAGTTGTACCTTGTAGAAAATGTGTACAAGAATCATCTCAATCTAATAGTTTAAGATATTAGGTAAGATCCTCATCTCAATCTAATAGTTTAAGATATTAGATAAGATCCTAAGATATGATTTAT